GTCGGTCGCGTCTAAAGAATACACACTCTAATAAAATGTTTGATTCAAATTGGTCGACAGAAGGGGCAAGTAAAAAACACGTGTTTGACATTCATTACTTTGCTTAACCTCAATACAAATGTGATTTAATATGTATGATGACTTGTATATTTGATGATTCAGAAAAATATATATCCTACGCTCGACTGCTTTCTAAATTGGGTCCCAATTAGAGGTACAGTGTATAGTAATTATAAATTTGGTTAGTCCGAGATTTTTATTTGTTAAAAATAATTATCTCGAGGATGCACAAATGTCAAGTTTTCAATTTCACAACTTATTGGTATTTTCAAATGTATGCTGAATCTCATTGTGAACGTCTCATCAGTAATTTGACTTGTTGATTCTAATAAAAGGTGGTTTTAATAAAACTAGATTTATGATAAAATCAATTATTACCTGAGAACGACATTGACTAGATATAAGTAAACACGTGTTTACGTTGCGGAAGGTGATATTAGTAGTCGTCTGACAAACCGATACCTTTAAAAAACATTATTCAATACAAATATAGAATAATGAACATGGTTAACATTAAGGGTTGTTCCTTCATTCTGTAAACTGTTTGAAAGAATGGATAAATAAAATATATTGTGTGAAATCATTCCTAAAAACTGATTCATTATTCATAAAGGAATATTTCTTTTAATGCTTAAAGCGAAACTCATGCTAGACATATTAACATTGGCCATTTACATATCACATCAGGTCTGAGTGCAATGGTATGTCAGTTCACAGCCACACGACACCTCGTCAAGCGCCAGGCCTGAGTGCAATGGTATGTCAGTTCACAGCCACACTGTATCCTCGTCAAGTGCGTCAATTCATTACTCCACAGTTACACTAGACAAATCACCGACCTTTTGTCTTTAGCATTTCTTCATGCAAATCTAGACGGATGCAACTCATTTAAGCGCAATGATGAAGAGCAACTCATTACTGTAGGCTTTCTTATTGTAAATGTCGTTACCAACAAAACCAGATCGATTAGCCTTTATGAAGATAGTTCTAGGTTGGAAATGGAAGTAATGTCTTTAATAGATCGGTTTTCTTCGCTGTGAAATTAGTCATTATCAAACTGTACTATGTGAACATGCAAATGCCGATTATCGTTCTTTATGAAAATTTAAAATAATCCCTTATTCATGTCGAACAAGATAACGTCCGGAATACAAGAATAAAGCGGTAAGACACGCTACAGAGAACGACAATAGTCTGCCATAGTTTGCTCGCCTCTGCTGTTTAACATCAACTGTTGACAAGAGCGGCTTCTCTTTTAAGTTAATGCATTTGAAGGGCAAATTAAGTTTATGTGCTTTAAGTTTGTCGAACACATTAAAACAAACCAATTATCAGAGTGTTACTTCAAGAAACATTCAGAAGCGATAGCATCTAATTGACGCAAACAATTAACGTGAATAACTGTCCACTTTGGCACAGAAGATAATGACAGTTTACTAGTCGTGTTACATAAGCAGCGTCCTTTTGTGCTTTCATTGTCACACCAGATGCTGTGTGCTGTCACTTATATAAGTTAGTGTCTGTTAAAGGGCATCAAACCAATACCTCGTATGGAACAAATTCCAGAATACTTTGTCAATAACAATAATGTTGAGTTCAATACAATATGCACATGTCAAACGAGCCTCTTCAGAAGACATCGTTACTTGTTGGTGAGGACTGTTAGCTGTCATACAAACGTCCCCGTTTAGGAAATAGAATAACCCATTACATATATTTCCTATTAACTGATTACACATCAGAGTCAATCGCAACATGAAATCATATGTGAAGTACACATATTGTGAATGCAGAGAATAGCCAAATTGGGCAGTAGCACAATCTTAAGACGGCTGTGGTTTCCGGTCCAGACACACAGACCCTACATTGTCCATGGTGAATTACATTCACACCAAAACACCAGTATTACACTATAGTACTCCCAGCACCAATCATTGATGCTATTGTGACGCGACAGAAATACCTACTTCGGGATGTGCACATTGTTATTTGTGATTTGAAATACACAGGCGGCAGTAAAGTATAGGGAAGCCCCCAGACGTACAGTACTGTATTACTCAGAAGTATCTGCTGGCGTGACTTCACAATGATAGCTGGTGTCGATGTACTTTTGCTTACTCTTTTGACAATTGTCCAATAGACAAAACGTTTTGTTGAGCTTTTGATTTGTTTTTCTTCAAGATTGAAAAAAATAATTTATCGACAGTAGATCAAATGCACAACAATGTGAACACTGCTTTGAGCGTATTTCACCGCCATTTTCCTTATCAAGGAAATCAAATTATTCTCAAGCTTCGTTTGAGCTGTCCATAAAATGTGAATAATGGGAATTGTCGTAACAATGTTATTTCTTGGAGACAAGTGCCAAACGGAAGGGCTTTAACAACATCATTTCCTTCATTTTACAGCGTATTTGGATTCAGTTGATGCAATTACACAAAAAAAAGGTATCAGGAATCATGCCTGAATGAAACTAACGTTAGAGGGCACTTTTTTTTTGAAATTTCAAAGAGTACACGTACTTTGAAGTGAGAAAACGGCCATAGTCAACAATACAATGAAGTGTTAGTAAGTAAAGTTTCGGTTGGAAGCGATAGTTGGTTGATCACTAACATGACGCGAGGCGTTTGGCATCAATTAACAACTAAAACGTATGGTTTGATTTGCGTCACTAACTTTATTGTACACAATTTCCTGACGTTATTATAAAACCTGTTCTATTAGAACGGTTCAAGAACAATTGTTGACAAACATCGTTACCTCTTCAAAGTTTTCTTTCCGCGCAGTTATGAGTTAATTTCCTCATTTACGAGTTGACATTACGAATGAAAACCATCATACTCTGTATTACACAGAAGACGTTTCTAAACTAGTTTCTAAGTCAGATAAATAAAAGTTTTTAATTCCAGTATCATGTAAAAATTGAAATGTGTTATTAACTATGTCTAAGAGTATATGTCCGACTATCACGCTTCTCACGATTGTTGACAAAAAATAGCACATGTTGATATCCCCAAAGACAGGATGGACTATTAGGACTGAGGATCCATTCAAATATTGACAAAGTGCCTCTACATGACAATATCAGAGGGATGATAGGGCTCCGTGAGAGTAGTAGTGTAGAGCGTAATTGGTGTCCCTGTAGTCTAGGTTTTTTTACGGATCTAGGAAACTTCTCTTACTTTGGTGAATACAAGTGCACGGGAACAAATCAAACCAGAAACATGTCAAATGTGTGTTCCAGCATCTCCATCATTTTCTAACACAATAATATGTGATGTTAAAACGTGACTTTTCCATACTCATCCCGCTAATCTTTAACAACGCGTCACAGGTTTGATATACATATCATTTGTGTTTCGAAAAGGACAATGACTATACTCAAACCTTGCATATTCATCAGTGCGATTGAATTCACCTATATATTGATGTAGTCCTAATTAAGACCAACTACATAATAAAAGAGACAAATTTCATTTCAGGACCGTTAACTTTCCTTTTCGAAGTAGTAACACACCAGCCTCATTTGTTTTGGAGCTACATGGGTAGCAGTTGAGTTGCTTCACCATTGCTTGTTGTTAATACCAGGATTCTCTTGACACACGCGTCTTGTTCAACAAACACTGTCTAGCCATCGGTTTCTTCTTAGTATGAGGAATCAATCCATGATGAACATATTTCCAAGGTCAGACATAAGTTTATGATCTGATAACTCTACAACGTTTTATAAAATTTTAAATGTAAACTTCATTTTCAAACATTTCTGAAGCAAGTTCTATCAACTTGTGTTGATCGCTCTTGTTGGCTCCAATGGTAGCACGCAAGTTTGGCTACGATGGTAGCACGCGAGGTTGGCTCCGATGGTAGCACGCAAGGGGTCTTCATGTGAAACGAAACTAGAGAACGGAGAGAAAAAATCCGGGCAGATGTTTCAATACCCTTACACGTCTGATCGGGGATTCGAATTCCGGCCGGAATGGTGAAAGGCGAGAACGCTATTCACGGTGTCACCCGGTCATCCAGTTTTTTGATAATTTCGTATTCTATTTTGTTGAGGGACCGACGGTGTCTATCCTTTCGCTTTAGTGTGGTCATTTCCTATCGGGTTAGAGTTATGGTTTTCATTTGTGAACGGCTCGTGTTTTGTTCCTCTGTTACATAAATGTTTTCCTATTGTCTTCAACGCAACAATGACCTGTGTAAGGATTAAACTGCCTAACCAGTTTTAGACTGATACAGGGTACGAAATAAATCAGAAACGTTGTATACTAAATAAAGCTCTACGTATCTGCCTTTATAATTGCACGGAATAATATCAGTAGCAGTGTTAAGTTACACACTGTAAAAGTACAACCCGCCGCTGACCACATGTACCTTAGAGTACGTATGTTGTTTACGAGTGCATTGTCGGGTATAATAATTATATACATGTAGCTGGTGTATTTAGTTTACAAAGGTTTACATCTTGTTCTCACTTCCTCCTCACGATCTAACGAGTTCCTGCAGATTGGCCGATGAAAGGTCTATATCAAATCTTGTAAATCCCTTTGATATTTTAATGAAAGATTCACGATTCCCTTCAATTTAGACAAAGAAAGATTGGGTTTGCTTTTGTCAGAATGATGAAAGGTGATTGGTCTGATTGGACAAGATAAAATAAAATGTACTCATTTATTACTTTCAATCATCATACAAAGATGTACATTTTTCATCAATGGTACTTATTAGCATTGCTATCTAAGAAAGCTCTTGTCCTCCTCACTTGAATAGACGATTAAATACATAAGTACGTACATGCATCTGGCATGGCTGTCGTGTAGAGAATCAAGAATCAAAATTACTTAATACAAAGAGGATTTCATTTAATTGATATGTAATTGGCACATTTCCGAACAGATCACCATTTTGTAGAGAAATGAAAACAACTGAAATTTTACATTACATTTTCCCACGATAGATTTTATTTAAATGGGAACATAAATCATACAATAATGTTTAGTCATCAATAGAATTTATACACTATTGTATTTGTTGGTATACTTAAAACTGTAAACAATCGTATATATCCGTTGTGAATAGGTCTTTACTGCCACACTTAATTTTCTGATTTTGTTCCGTGACTCTAGTTCTGGTGTAAAGCCAATGCTATCATCAACTATCAACTAAACCAATAAATGTATATTTCTTTACCAGATTTAATCCAGACATTTTTCCATGAAGCTGAGTTTACAATGTAATATCTTTATGGGTAATACAATAACATAATGATGAACAATGTTGTAACAATAGTTCCTACGGGAAAGCTTAATGTAACAGGTATTGTGTACTTTGTATCAATGTCAGTTATATACACAGTGTTACATTGTATACTTTGTATCAACGTCAGCTCTATACACTGTGCTACATTGAATACTTTGTATCAATGTCAGCTCTATAGATTGTTTTACATTGTATACTTTGTATCAACGTCAGCTCTATACACTGTGCTACATTGTATACTTTGTATCAACGTCAGCTCTATACATTGTTTTACATTGTATAATTTGTATCAATGTCAGCTCTACACACTGTGTTACATTGTATACTTTGTATCAATGTCAGCTCTATACATTGTTTTACATTGTATACTTTGTATCAACGTCAGTTCTATACACTGTGCTACAGTGTATACTTTGTATCAATGTCAGCTCTATACATTGTTTTACATTGTATACTTTGTATCAATGTCAGTTCTATACACTGTGTTACATTGTGTATTTTGTATCAACGTCAGCTCTATACACTAGTACTGTTACATTGCATACTTTGTATCAATGTCAGCTCTATACATTGTTTTACATTGTATATTTTGTATCAACATCAGCTCTATATACTATGATGTTACATTGTATACTTTGTATCAATGTCAGCTCTATACATTGTTTTACATTGTATAATTTGTATCAATGTCAGCTCTATACACTATGTTACATTGTATACTTTGTATCAATGTCAGCTCTATACATTGTTTTACATTGTATACTTTGTATCAACGTCAGTTCTATACACTGTGCTACAGTGTATACTTTGTATCAATGTCAGCTCTATACATTGTTTTACATTGTATACTTTGTATCAATGTCAGTTCTATACACTGTGTTACATTGTGTATTTTGTATCAACGTCAGCTCTATACACTAGTACTGTTACATTGCATACTTTGTATCAATGTCAGCTCTATACATTGTTTTACATTGTATATTTTGTATCAACATCAGCTCTATATACTATGATGTTACATTGTATACTTTGTATCAATGTCAGCTCTATACATTGTTTTACATTGTATAATTTGTATCAATGTCAGCTCTATACACTATGTTACATTGTATACTTTGTATCAATGTCAGCTCTATACATTGTTTTACATTATTCACCATATAGTCTTATCAATACTTACCAAGCAGTATTGATAAAACAAATTGTCTGCTATGTCTGAATGTTTCTTTTCATTCTATCAAATATTTCAATTATTCCATACCTATGTGGTGTCTGTATGGTAAAGTTAATACACTTACCGAACGTTTGTCTGGACAATACCCTGAAGCAATGGCCATAACTGGAAATGTTTCTCATAAATAGCCCAGGTTTATTGGCTAAATAAATCATATATGTACACCAATTATAAAATGGTCATTATTTGTAGTAGAAACATTTAAACTACTGCATTAATTACAAGAAGAAAGCTGAAAACCCTCTTTCAGTGTGTAAAATTCTGATAGATTTGCCTCTTATATGTACCAAAAAGGACAGAGTTAAAACATGATCAGATAAAAATGTTAATATAACATCAGTTTTGTTGATTTGTACACGTGTTTAACAGGTTATACAGGTGTCATACTTGTGTGTAGGTGATTTGTACACGTGTTTTACAGGTTTTACAGCTGTCAGACGTGTGTGTAGGTGATAGGATTTGGTTACACATATCCTGTAATTATACCAATGAAATTTATCACATTCAAGATGTTTCCCCAGAAAATGAATTTACTTGTACAGTAGACCACAAGTTGAACACAAATATCTTTCTACTGTACCAAAGTTCCTCGGTGTTTTGTAGCTTTCCCCAGAATCCAAAGTTATATCAAAGTTAAATCATTTTAATTTCCACTATTTCTTCTTGAATTGTTTGTACACAAATTTTTTGCTGTTGTGTTTCTGTGGTTTTTGGTAGCCAAAGCCTCCCGCTCCTGCTCCTCCTCCTCCTCCTCCTCGCTTCTGGACCTTTCTACTCTTGCTGCCATAGACTTCTAATGATGGGTTAAGGAAATGTCATATCATAAAGTTTGCTTAATCTATTTTGTTTGAAAAACACCATCATAGGAGAAAGCTCTCAGTGGTGGTAAACCTGTCATCATTCAATCTAAAGAGGTATGGTGTGGAAGAAATTCTGTCACTCCTTGTCCAAGAAAAGAACATGTATGCTTAATGTTGTACTGGGTATGTTGGTCTTCACTTATACATATAATAATTGTTAGAGACATTATGAATAGTACAGGGAAATACAAAGGAAGCTGACATTAACCCTACAGACACCAATAGACTTATTGGTGTTGGACATCAGGTTATATTATTTTATAATGTTAAAGGTATTTTACATATATTTCAGATAAGTGATATCTTTTAGGCTTTCACAGACGACTTTGGTTCAATGTTTATAGATAAAATGTGATGTAGAGGAAACTAACTCATAAAGGCACACAAACAAGTGAAGGAAGTGAGCCTAGCTCCAGCACTTATTCCATAACTTACCTTAACTGGTCTATGTGTTGACCAGGGTAACTTTATATCCCACAGAACCACCTTGTGGCAGAGCATAAGAATACATTTAAGTTAGTGTCTTACCAAACTTATGTAAATGATGTGAGTGGCAATTAAAGTCAGTTTTACAAAAGTTTTGAAAAAAGGATACCCAAGTCCACAAAAGGTGGCACCTTGAAGCCGAAGGATAACGCTGTCTTGAGCAAGTCAAGACCGTTGACATCGTAGATGTTCTTCAAACTGTGAGAGGCAAAGGCCCTCACATAGGCTTTGTAGGCCTCCTTTGCTGACTTGTTAAGGAAGTAGTTTTTCTCAATCAGCTTCTCCAACTGAAAATAGTAACAGTAAAGACTATGTCAAATCATTGTAAAGATGTACTGAATTAATAAGGCTCCTCAACCCTGAGCCTGTTTATGTTGTTTACCTGTACAAGGCTCCACTAACCTGACCCTGTTTATGTTGTTTACCTGTACAAGGCTCCACTAACCTGACCCTGTTTATGTTGTTTACCTGTACAAGGCTCCACTAACCTGACCCTGTTTATGTTGTTTACCTGTACAAGGCTCCACTAACCTGACCCTGTTTATGTTGTTTACCTGTACAAGGCTCCACTAACCTGACCCTGTTTATGTTGTTTACCTGTACAAGGCTCCACTAACCTGACCCTGTTTATGTTGTTTACCTGTACAAGGCTCCACTAACCTGACCCTGTTTATGTTGTTTACCTGTACAAGGCTCCACTAACCTGACCCTGTTTATGTTGTTTACCTGTACAAGGCTCCACTAACCTGACCCTGTTTATGTTGTTTACCTGTACAAGGCTCCACTAACCTGACCCTGTTTATGTTGTTTACCTGTACAAGGCTCCACTAACCTGACCCTGTTTATGTTGTTTACCTGTACAAGGCTCCACTAACCTGACCCTGTTTATGTTGTTTACCTGTACAAGGCTCCACTAACCTGACCCTGTTTATGTTGTTTACCTGTACAAGGCTCCACTAACCTGACCCTGTTTATGTTGTTTACCTGTACAAGGCTCCACTAACCTGACCCTGTTTATGTTGTTTACCTGTACAAGGCTCCACTAACCTGACCCTGTTTATGTTGTTTACCTGTACAAGGCTCCACTAACCTGACCCTGTTTATGTTGTTTACCTGTACAAGGCTCCACTAACCTGACCCTGTTTATGTTGTTTACCTGTACAAGGCTCCACTAACCTGACCCTGTTTATGTTGTTTACCTGTACAAGGCTCCACTAACCTGACCCTGTTTATGTTGTTTACCTGTACAAGGCTCCACTAACCTGACCCTGTTTATGTTGTTTACCTGTACAAGGCTCCACTAACCTGACCCTGTTTATGTTGTTTACCTGTACAAGGCTCCACTAACCTGACCCTGTTTATGTTGTTTACCTGTACAAGGCTCCACTAACCTGACCCTGTTTATGTTGTTTACCTGTACAAGGCTCCACTAACCTGACCCTGTTTATGTTGTTTACCTGTACAAGGCTCCACTAACCTGACCCTGTTTATGTTGTTTACCTGTACAAGGCTCCACTAACCTGACCCTGTTTATGTTGTTTACCTGTACAAGGCTCCACTAACCTGACCCTGTTTATGTTGTTTACCTGTACAAGGCTCCACTAACCTGACCCTGTTTATGTTGTTTACCTGTACAAGGCTCCACTAACCTGACCCTGTTTATGTTGTTTACCTGTACAAGGCTCCACTAACCTGACCCTGTTTATGTTGTTTACCTGTACAAGGCTCCACTAACCTGACCCTGTTTATGTTGTTTACCTGTACAAGGCTCCACTAACCTGACCCTGTTTATGTTGTTTACCTGTACAAGGCTCCACTAACCTGACCCTGTTTATGTTGTTTACCTGTACAAGGCTCCACTAACCTGACCCTGTTTATGTTGTTTACCTGTACAAGGCTCCACTAACCTGACCCTGTTTATGTTGTTTACCTGTACAAGGCTCCACTAACCTGACCCTGTTTATGTTGTTTACCTGTACAAGGCTCCACTAACCTGACCCTGTTTATGTTGTTTACCTGTACAAGGCTCCACTAACCTGACCCTGTTTATGTTGTTTACCTGTACAAGGCTCCACTAACCTGACCCTGTTTATGTTGTTTACCTGTACAAGGCTCCACTAACCTGACCCTGTTTATGTTGTTTACCTGTACAAGGCTCCACTAACCTGACCCTGTTTATGTTGTTTACCTGTACAAGGCTCCACTAACCTGACCCTGTTTATGTTGTTTACCTGTACACGTCTCCACTAACCTGACCCTGTTTATGCTGTTAACCTGTACAAGGCTCCACTAACCTGACCCTGTTGATGTTGTTTACCTGTACAAGGCTCCACTAACCTGACCCTGTTTATGTTGTTGACCTGTACAAGGCTCCACTAACCTGACCCTGTTGATGTTGTTTACCTGTACAAGGCTCCACTAACCTGACCCTGTTTATGTTGTTTACCTGTACAAGGCTCCACTAACCTAACCCTGTGTATGTTGTTTACCTGTACACGGCTCCTAAATCCTTATACTGTGTTGTTCATTGATACAAATCTCGTGAATCCTTCCACTGTTTAAGTAGTTTATAGGTATGAGACTTACCAGAAACGAGGAAACTTAAATTTATGTTTGAGGACTCCCTCTCATTCTTAATTATAAGATATCTGTTCAACTAATTTAAACATTTTAACTTGAGCTAAAAGAGTTTTAGTATCAATAAGGTTTTAATGTCCACTAATGAAATTTAGTCCTAAGTTTTACTGATATGTCAAGGACAACCATAAAATTAAACTTCAATTTCACATTTATTTTTCATTTCCACTGCCTCGAATTCACTGGAGAATACATGTATAGGAATAAATGTAGCTATGTAGTGATGAAAGTGATATAAACTTGTCTTCACCTAGCACTTTCCATAAACATCACACAATTTGATAATGACTGCATCTACAGCCTCTGGATAAGTTAATTTAAAACTGGTTAGGGTATCCCTTGTCTATCTGGATAAATATACACTTTCAATTCACTTATTCACTTTATTCAAAGCTACGGCTTTCGATTCAGATGAAGGAACAGAAGAATAAGTGGTTGTTTTGGTAAACCTTTGCTACATACACTAAAAAATGATTACCTACACAATTAATACCTTTTTTTAAGCAAAGTTTACCAATTAATAGCAGAAAATGGTAGAGATGCGCCAGGTAGCTCATTCTTAAATGGCATGCAGCATTGTTATCAAGTGTTATTTCATATGTGAAGAGTGATATTGATTTTGGTAGTCATTCCTGTGTAGACTTAATCATTTGAAATTTAAATCTTTTATAATAATATTTATGAATATAATATAATAATTATGAATTAATATTGGAACAGTATCATTTTAATTACCAATTCATGCATTTATGAATAAAACCTGCTATATTTTGTGAAAAAAATACACATATAAAGTATCCATGAAAACGAGTGCCTTACAGAACTTGAATCTCTAAATACACTGTATGTAGCATGATTCTGTATGTAATTACAGTGTAAGTATGATTCATTCTAGCAACAGTTTGGTACATTGCCCTGAGACTGTATTTCTGTTTAAAGCATGGCATTACAAAACAGATCTTTAATCACCAGTTATTTTCGGACAAAAAGTGCAGTAATTTGCTGGAGGGTAATAAATAGGTTTGGCCAAACTACAAGTGTATGTGCATGATCCCAAGTAATTGATTCTGGCCGTAACAGGTTTCCTAAAAACATCATTAATCTTGAAGCAGGTTAGTTTTGCAGTAAAGTGGATAGGGCTTGATCTTATATCCAAGGGGTAATACTGGATGTAGGGTGGTGCATCCATTATAAGGCTGGTCCTAATGGACTGCTTTGTAGGAACAGGACAGAAATTGTGCCATTCATTATAGGGTTATTTCTGACGGAGAGGTGCCGCCCATTACAAGGCCAACACTAATGGACTAGCTTGTAGAAACAGCAAGATGCACTTGGTAAAAATAGACACATCATTTTGCACAGTTGAAATAAAGCATCATCTATCCAACTCCAATTTCATATGAGTTTCTGACAAGGACTTATTTCATCTTGCCAGCACATGTGTTTTTCTGTTTTCTTAGTTTTTCTCCTTCGTTCAACTGGAGTAAATCTGTCTAGACAAGTCAATTTATGATCTTCTCTTTTATCAAATTTCCCAATGGAAGCTTCTTTCTCAATATATTTGTATAGTTGTGTCACGTTTTTACATAAGAAAAATTGGGGATCACATAAAAAGATCATTGTTTTCATAAATAAACCTTCTTTTCAGGGATCTTAAAATTACAGGGCAAACAATGCTGATCTATTATGAAACAATTCTGCTCCAAAAGCATTACTGTAAAACATAACATGAGACTTGTTCAGGATTAGCTAATCATCCAAGTGGTTAACATACACAATTGTCTGTAAATGCTCAGGAGGAAAGTATACATATTTACATACTTCCAATAACAGACAAGAACATGTAAGCATGCATAGTCAACAAATAAAATATTACCTGAAAAAACAACATGTTCAATAATTAAGACCAGCAGTGTCATCTAATTGACCAAATTGAGCACCAAACACCAAAAATCGTAAACTATCAGATTTTTTAAACTTACCTGTGGCTGTATGTTGGAGATTTTGCTCCAGGCAAACTCAAACTCATTCAGTGGTACCTTGGCATGTTTGAGATAGCGCAGGAAGCCAAGTTCTTCTGGTCGCAGGATGAGAAGGGCATGGCCGATCCCCCCATCCCCACGAGCTGTCCGTCCAACCCTGTGGATGTATTCCTGTAAAATAAAAGGTGCTTTGTCAGATTCATGAACTAATTAATATCTCTCTATATATCTGTATAGGTAGGATATCAGTAACAGGACAAGACACTGTTTCAAAGGTTCATCAAATCCTTGTCACTATTCAATCAAGTCTGAGAGACACAATATCATTTACACACTATTCCTATACAAGACATATTTCCTCAATTAACAGGCAATGAACAGGCACACATTTGTTTGATTTCTTAACTGTATGTTAACATGTAGTAATGTGATATTGTAACATTGACCTTTGTCTGATGATTGCATGGTTCAACTACCGGTCATATTTCTCAATAAGCCCACACATATATATGGCAGTTTTGTTGGCCAGTAATAAGCCCACCCCCTACTATGAGAATGAGCAAGACATAATGTGTTGGCCGCTGGGCTTATTGCAGGATAATGCTATAGTGAAATCAAAAATAAGGCTTTATATGGTATTTTTTGAGAAGAAATCAAAGTTATTTTTCAAATTGGTCTTTCAAATTTGTTTTCTATTCTGACATAACTCTAATTATAAGCACGCTACTTAATTAGACTTGGTCTACCAATCAGTGCAGCGAGACTTTACACAATAATTGTCTCCCAATGAGTTTCACGAGGAGAGCTTCCCGATCGTATACTTACTATCAGTACAAGGTCTTAATGATATATTATGATCGATGCTACAAAATCAATTAAGTTTTTGCTCATTAAAATGTTACATCCATAAAGTAATTAAAAGTAGGTTCTATCTCGTCAAAAAGTTACCAATGAGGAAATGCAGACTAATTGTACCCATTTGTGAGCCATCAATTTGTCACTGCCTTCGAACATGAAACTTTAACAATTACGACTAAATGTTCATTTAAAAGCGACCAATCAATGTCAACGAGTGCTTTACAGTAGTGTGATGTGCACTCCCTGATCAAGAGAAACAGAAACAGAGAACCAGTAATTACAAAGATAATCAAATAGTATTTATTCCAATTAGAGTGGCTTTCAGTAAGAAGGGAAGTAAGCACAGCAGATGTTTGTAGTGCATGCTCTTCACTAGATTTTTTAAGTGTGGTTTAACCAGTTCAGTTTCTTTTTTCCTAGTTGATGTAAAATGAAAAAGATTGCTTTCAGTATGAATTGAAGCAGACGTTTAGCCTCCAAGCCTCACATCCTGATCGATGGTATGCAGAGAAAAGCAATGCATGAGTTATCACTGTCTAAACTGATGACTTCTATCAGACAACTCTCATAAATTTCAGACAAATGTACATTTCCTCACATTAACCTGTTATCAGCTGACAGAATATTGCTTTTGTCTTTGAAGCATAAAACCTGAATCCCCCTGTGAGATGAGAGAAACACATTGCATGATAAATGTATTGTAGATTATACCAACATGGAGCACTTAACATCTAAAATCTAAGTATTTTTGATGCTCCTGTCATAAGTGACATTTTCACACCATAAATTTCAAATCAAGTGAATGCCTCTCAACATCTGTAAAATTCAGTGAAATTCTATGTTGGGGAATAAATGAGAAAAATACTTCTGTGGAATTCCCAAACAGCATATAGCATGTGTTCCCAATGGTGTAATAATGTTACAGAGCAGCTTCGGAAAGTGTGACCATTACCTTGTCTGTGTCGAATCAAAACCTATTTACGCATCAAAAATGATGGCGCAGTGCACTTGAAATGGTGGGTTTTCTGTCAGTTGATGCTCATGTTGCCGACACAGAATACATTCTATCCTAGACCATAAAATGGATGTTAAAATCTCCACCACAGCTGGAAATTGCTCATCAGCAGGAAAAAACACTTCACTGTACGGAGTGGGGTAACAGAATTTGATATGTCAGGTAAACCGTAGAGTAAAGTCACGAGACTAACACTTAGGCCACTCCTCAACTTCCTCTATGGCTTGTTTTTTTCAAATAGAATGTCAATGCACCACATTTATCTTAACAGATAGTTGACAGAGATTTGTAACCAGTCTAGTCCTGATTTATACCACAAGAACTGAAAACTGCATTAAAAACTGAATTTCATATCAACAAAGGTTTTATTGCGTCTCTTAACTGCCATAAGTTATCCAGACACAATCTCAATGACCGCATGACATCTTGTCACAAAGTTACCACAGAAAGACTTTACTGTTTTTTCATTGCAAATTGTTTCATTACTTCCAAAAAACACCTTTTCTCTTTAACAAGACCATAAAATATACATAACATATATTAATCTTAGTTACTTCTGAATCATCATAGAAAGGCACAGTGAACAAGTCAAAGTGAAGTCTATCCATCTTTTCACAATACATATATCTTGTGAATAAAATGATTCTTCCTCATTTCAAATGAAATGATGGAGAATTTCAAGCTGACAATATTTATCACTTGAATTTATTTTAAAAGTCGTCTATGATTTCAAATAACTGGAAATTAAAGGCTAATGACACTCTACCGATTGAGCTACTTGGTCGCTGACAATTGACCCAGTCCAGTTCCTCTACACTATCATTGACTACAAGTTGTCTCCCTTGATGGAAGACAACAAGCTCATCTAATCCAGATGATGAGGTAATATAAGTGTAGCTAGCACTGATATCCTACCTGTTATAGGACAGATGTCTGTAATTACCACTCAGGAGGAAATCTGTGGAGAACTAAGTATTGGTACAGCCACCCAGATGTGATCCACATACCATCAAATTGATAATGTCTGGAAAGTCCTTCTAAACCCTTTGAAGCCATAAATTGATTGGTAAAAAAAACGTTAAGCATGACAAGAAAAAGTCTGCAACTTAATAGATTTATACAAGTTCATCTCACAATTTTATCTCAAGAAATAACCAATTCAAGCCTCCTGATGATAGGCATGGTTTAAAATACAGAATTTGATTCATAACTTGGTTGAAATTCTGATTTAATGCAAAAATTTAATATAGATTTTTTTTACAAATTAATAAACAAAAGAAATTCAAAATTTCATGCATGTAGGTCTTAAGTGAAATGTCATTTTTCACTAGTGCAATATCAAGACAATAAATGTATACAATGTATACTAACAGGGCTGACTGCACATGCTCTAGAGCCAGACTTCTTTTAAAGTGAGCCTTATTCCTGCACAAGGGAGAGCCAATACATTGCAATCATTATGACAGACAAACTAACCCTATGGCAGTGCCCTCCCCAGAGATCCTGGGCAGTGGAGGAGTGCGTCTTAGTGAACCACCACAGGCATGCCCAAGTGATGTATGCTCCAAACAAACATCATGGCGTTGGGTGTGGGGCTAAGTGAACATTTGCATGTTGAGTCACTAAGGCAAACATTTTCAAATCCTGCACAATGTGCCAATTCACACAATAATCTCAAGCGCTGTAGAATCCTAGAATATCATTTGGCCTAGTGTCTGGGGAACTCAAACTGCATGAGACTTGGACCCTGATAATTTTGTATCGAAAAATTTGCATCAGGAAAATGATTTATGGATTCAATTTTGATACCTATAAATTTGTTATTCTTTCTAACACAAATGCTCAGACACGATGTGTTTGTAACCACAGCACGGAAATGACTCCCTCGACATCTCATGGAGAGATGAAATAATAACGATCTGATTTAATCAATGATGATGTTCAAGAAATATAAAAATATTTTTTAGGAAATTACATGATCATGCAAACATTTCAAAATAAGTTATTGAAAAAAGGACTGATCTATAGCAATCAAGAACATTGTATCAATGTCATGTGGATCATGGCATTTCCCACCAATAATCAACAAGTGTCTCAATTGTGGACATGGTCAAAGTTATAAATAACTTACAGACGTGAATGCTGAATATTTGTACAATACCAGCCCGCCAAACAGAAAGGTGGTGTTGTTGGTAACTTGTACATACTCCACAAATAGAGTTCATGTTTCACTAGTCTTTGTCTGATGAAGATGAAAGAGTACATATCATACTAGCTTAAGTCATCAAAATCTCACCTATACGCATGCTATATAAAAATGAGTACAACCTGGGGGTGGGGGTTAGTTCTCTTTTTGAGTCTAGATTCAGATTTTATTATCTAAAGAGATATGTCTTTTGAAGGTTAACGAGCCCCACCTTTTTGTTCCTTGGGGTGTCGAATGTAAAATCAAATTGGACTTATCATCTACTGAACATTAATGATGAATAGAGGAAATATAAACATGTTAGTTTTTAAGGAGATTTCGTTTGAAGGTTTTGAACTCTGTGAGACACATTGGGGCCTGTCCCTCCGTTAGCTAGATAAGAAGTCAGCCTCTTCTTATAGATTCTACAGGCTAGTGATTACAACTGATTAAATCATTAGTGTCTTCAAAATCTGACAAATGATTTCTGAGGAAAAGTTGAAAATAGTATTGTTAAGGGACAACAGATAACAGTCAACAGATGAAAGTGTTTGCAAAAGGAAACCTGATTGACTCGGGCGAATTAAGAAAATAGAAACAAATTGGGTAAAAATATACAGAACCAAGGTATTTAATAATATAGAAACTTAGATAAAAATACAGAAAATAAAGTAAAAATATTGCAACCAGAGTCAATGGTATCTGTAAAGTTCAGATCACTGCTTAGTCTAAACACTCCTATAGAAATGTGTGAATTTGGAATCTAACCACGAAAGCTAGCAAACTCCGTAACAGAAATTTCCTGTAATGTTATTAACTTCCTACTCAGCTGCACGAGACAAAGGATGGATCCATACCTGTGCCAAATTCTAAATACATGACAAAATTTGATTTCCACATCCTGCTTTCCAATGCTGTTAGCCTCACATGCAAAAATATTCGTAGAAATACAAAATCTATTGAATTTAGAAAATAAGGTTTTAAGACGGATTGAATGACTAAATGATGCACATCATTTCCTGAGTAAAATTTCAACAAAATCTGATGTTACAAATGTGTGTTAGAAATACATCAAGACACCATTTGGTGTTACTAGGATCGCTCTAGGGGTAT